AAGGTTCTTTGCGGTTTAATATTGACGCTTTGGGGCAGCACAGCGACGAGGAGATTTGGGCAGCAATTGAAAAGGCCCATTTGGCGGAAAGTTTGAAGCAAATGATAATTAATAACAGAAAGTCCACCTTTAATAATGCCGCTGATGCCAATAATGACGGCAGCAGCAGCAGCAGCAGCAGCAGGCGCAGCAGCAAAGGCAGCAGCAGGAGCGGCAACGAAGGAGCAGCAGCAGCAGCAGCAGCAGCAGAGTCCGAGGACCAGCTCAAAGTCGCGATGCTGCCAGCAGCAGCAACAGATTCAGAAACAGACGCGGAGAGCGAAGCGCCTGCTGCTGCTGCTGCAGCAGAAAGTCCTGCTGCAGCAGCAGCAGCAGCAGGTTATGTGGGAATTGAAGTTGAAGACATTGACCCCCTAGACATCCACGTCGAAGAAGGCGGCAGAAACTTCTCTCTAGGACAGAGGCAGCTCATTTGCCTTGCAAGGTACAACAGCAGCAGCAGCAGCAGCAGCAACAGCAGCAGCAGCATTAGCAGCAGCATTAGCAGCAACAGCAGCAGCAGCAGCAGCAGCGGGGGTAGCAGTAGGGGTAGTTGGAGTGTAGCAGCAGCAGCAGTTGAAGTAATAGGAGTGGAAGAGCAGCAGCACTAGCAGCAGCAGCAACAGCAGGGCCAACAGTTGCAGCAGCAGCAGCAGCAGCAGCGTGTTAACCACCACACAGCCCACAAATAAACCCTAATTAATTAATTAATTAAACTGTTATTTAATTATTTAATTATTTATTTATTTATTTATTTATTTATTTGTTTGTTTGTTCAAAGGGCCCTTTTGCGGCGTTCAAAGATTTTGCTGCTGGACGAGGCGACAGCAGTTGTGGACCCGAAGACAGACAGTCTTATTCAGGTCTTTATTTTAATTAATTAATTTAACTAATTAATTTAGTTAATTAAATTAATTAAATTAATTAATTTAATTAATTAAATTAATTAAATTAATTAAATTAAGTAGTTGATTAATTAATTAATTCTAATTAATTAATTGCATTTATTTATTTCTGGTCATTTAGTTGTGTTATTTGTTTGTCTGTTTGTTTGGTTGCTGCTGCTGCTCCTAGCTGCTGCGCTGCTGCTCTGCTGCTGCTGCTCATAAAACGACGGGAATTAATTAAATAAATAAAAATAAAATGAAATGGTTAATTAATTAATTAATCGATTAATTGATTAAATTAATTCTTTTTTTGTTTGCAGCAAACGATAAAGACGGACTTCAAAGACTGCACTGTCATCACCATCGCCCACCGCATAGAGACCATTGTCGACTACGACAAAGTAATTAAATAAATAAA